TTATGACTTGTAAGGTTTTTTTGTAAAGTTTTTTGTAATCGTTTTTAAAATTTTATAAATTGAAATAGATAATATATCACGTATTTCAATTATCTTTCTTATTAAAATAGTTGATTCTATTTTAAAATTTGCTACTTTTTATTTTCTGTCGTTCGGCTGTAACATTTTCTTCTCAATATTCCATTTCAAACGTTTTTAAATATTACCAAAATAATTTCTGTTAGATTATATTCTTTCCGATACATCAATGTTTTTTATTTTGACATTCACAATAAATATTATATCTATTTTTTATTCAATTGAGTTATTTGAGAAATTGAGAAATTATCAATTACATCAAATATGTATCGCGATATATCAAATTCTTAAATATTCTAAATATGTAGAATAAATTAAATATTTTAAATATGTAGAATACAACATTCGACAAAATTATATGCAAAATGATTATTCTTATTTACAAAATAGAAAATACAAATAATGAATGAATTTATAGAACATTAAATATAAACAAATATTGTGATAAGTAATAGTAATTAATAACAGTAATATTTACATTATAATAATCCTATCATAGGATAAATTTATAAATTTTATGAAATTATTCTAATCTTATGATTTTGAAAGTTTTCTAATCTTATGATTTTAAATGTTCTTGAAAGTCATTGTGTGACACATGCTTGAACTTATTTTGAAACATGCTTTCATATAAAAAATATATATAAAAAAATAAAATACTTAATTAAAAGTTATTTTAAAATCTTCAAAAAAATGTGACTACAAAAAAATTATATGAATCATTATGTTGTTTACAAAAAATAATATAATTTATCACATTTTCTATATATTAATTATGTTCGAAAGAAATGCTGAAAAATAATAATATCTTATGTATTAATTAGGAGTTTATTATATTTTAATAGATTAATACAATTTTTATATATTTTAATTTTTTAATTGAAATGCGACATAAGATCTGATGATATTTTATCTTCTATTTTTAAATAAACGCATTTGGAATTCAAATTATTTATTCATTTTTATTGTTTTATTCAATCATATTCATTATTAGAAAAATTTTAATTTTATCATAAATATTATTATAGACGCATCTGAAAAGATCCTTTATTACTTTCTCATTTTTTATTGTTCGTAGAATATCATATCGTATTAAATTTTATTTAAAAAAGGATTCCAATACATATTTTTTGTATTATATCAAGTAAATAAATTAATTGAAATTTTAATTTTATTTTTTTCAAGTCATTAAAATTTTATAATTTATAAATTGATATTAAGTATTATATAAATCAAGTTTTTGGAATTCAATTTATTTACGAACATTAATTATGCTAAAATTCTTTTATAAAAAATTTCTTTTGATAAAAAATTTAATTTTCATATAATATATAATATTTTTTTGTTTTATTTAAGTCTTCTATTATTTCTGAAGCATATTGCTTAGAAATACAGAATATATAGTTAAAAAAAATTGTTTTTGCTTTTATATCATAAATTTATTCTTATTTTCAAAATTACTATATAAATTTTTGTAATAGTATTTTCTAAGACGAACATTTTTGGAATTGGCGAAATTATAATTATTTATAAAGATGTATATATCACCGATTTTGTTAATCTTCAAATATCTGTCAATATTGTAATTTTATATATAATTATCTACTTTGATTTATTTGTAAAAATATTTTTAATGTCATATATTGTATTTTTAAAATTTAATATAAATTTGAAATATGATTAGAATAAGTTTGGATAAATCGAGCTGTGAGATATTGATAATGTAGCCAGATATATAAATATTTCGAAATAAATTTTCGGAATCTTATGATATATATATATAATGAATAATAATAAATATTATTCACATTATTGTGCATATGTTAATAATAATGATACTACTTTAATATATTTTAATAATTTATTTTGTTAAAATTTTTAATATTTGAATATAGGATTGGCATAAACAACTACATAAAATCTTCAAATCAATATTTAATAAAAATGGCTTGAATTTTTGCAAAAATGATGATTTTGTTTCATCTTTTAATGAATTATGGTGAATGAGTTTTCATTACGCTAAATAAAAATGTAATATACACAACCAATCAAAACCAATATTTTAATTTATAAAATATTGAAAAACTATATAAGGATTTTCTAATATTATATATTTTTTAATAAATAATAAGCAATGATTAAATTTTCTAAAGATTAATTAATGCTATTATTGCTATAGATAATGTTACAATCAAGATTATTAGGATTCTTAAATTATATAAATATCTAATATTTAATTACTTGGTAAATACTTTTGTTGATATCTCAAAAACTAAAACTAAACAATAGTTATATGTACATATATGTTAATAGATTCGTTATAAATACTTTTGAAGAATCAATTCTAAAAATCAAAATAAACATAAAAATTGATATATAAAAATATCAATTGAGATTTATTTATCATGTTATAAGTAATTGAAGTTTAATTAAGCATTAGTTGAAGCCGAAATAGAGCGAGATGCGATAAAAATAAAGATATTTTATTCTATCTTCTATTTGCTTATATATAAATATAAATTTTAATTGTTTATAACTTAATAAATAAGTCTCAACTATAATTTTTGTATACTAATTTTTATGTTTTAGAATCGGTCTTTCAAAGATATTTCAAGAATATAATAACATTCTGTAAAATGCAATTATTTTTTCCTTATTCCATTTTCAAAAATTGAGTTCTTTTTGTACTTGGATTTGTTTCATTTAGTAATATTTTTAAAATTATCATTTAGAAATAATTTCTATGACATTTATAGTTCGTAATAAGTTGCATATTTCTTTTATATTATTATAAGTGTTAAATTATCATATTTTCCTATTTGGATATTTGATTTTGTTATTTTTTCAAATCATTATTTTTTCTTTTTTTTGGCCAAATTCTGATATTTATTTTCATATTTTATTTAGATTTATTAGCATTATAAGACAAATATTCTTTCTTTTATGCTATTTATTAATATGACAAATTTTTATTATAATTGTTATTTAAAGTCTCTTCTATAATATGTTACTAAACCATTAACATTATTATATTCTCTATATTAACAAAAATAATTATTAAACTAAATTATTAACTGACATTATCATATTCTCATATTCTTTAAACAAGCATTTCCTCTTTTTTCTTTTTTTTTTTACAAATAACTTCAAATTGATTAAATTTATTAATTCTTGTATTTAATTTTGATTATAAATAGTCATGGATATTTAATTAGTATTTTTATCATATTTTCTAATCTATGCTGTATATTATTTTCATAGACATATTTTATTTCTAATCTTTAAACTTAAGTCTTAGACATAACTAATTATAAATATACATTATTATTATTCAATATTTACATATTTTTTTAAAATATATCAGTAAATGTAATTAAGGCTTTGATCTCTTTTTTTTTTAATTTTGCCTTTAGTTATTTTATAACATATTAAATTCATTTATAAAATTTTAATTATAATTATTTTTACATATAAATAGAAATGTTCGTTGATTATGTTTTATTTAGATATATTTAGATATTATATATTGTTGCATAGTTATTCAGATATTACTTCTTTTTGATTATATTTTATAAATTTTATAGATTATTGTTGAGATTATATTGATATATTTTATTTTATTTATATTTTATTATTATTTCTAGATTTTTTTCTTAGAATCTGATGAAATTGATTTTTTTTGTTGAATTTACACATCTGTTTCATATCAACTATATCTATTTTCATCTATTAACATCTATCAACATGCATCTTAAATATCAAGACATTTATCTCTAGATATTTTGATTTCTCTTCACATTCATTGAATTAATCTGACATTATCTTTTTTCTTAAAAAATATCTTGCTTATTTATTCTTATATCAAAATTTCATTGCATCAAATTAATTTGTAGAATTCTTTTTTTATATCAGTTAAAATTAATTTTATTATTTGACAATGTTAATTATTATTGATGCAAACATAGCATAAATAATTTAATAAAATTATATTAAATTATAAAAATAATAAATATATTAAATATATTAAATTATATTATATATATTATTTTTATTATGTAGTTTATTATATAATTGCAAATTGTTAATATTTTATACTATTTTATACTATTTATATATAATAGATATTAATGTTATAGATATTAATTAAATATTTTACAAGATAAATAAGAAATAATAAAATATATTGCTATATATCAAAATAATATAAAAAATAATTATAAATTAAAGTAATGTATGAAATTGTTAAGTTGTAAAATTTATTGATTTATTATTTTTTTATAATTGATTGCAGAAATTTCATAATAATTATTAATTATCAATTATTTTTTAATTTTAATTAATTGTATTTTATTATTAATCAATATTATTAAAGCTATTTCGCATTAATTTTTGCTTATTAGATATTCAAATATTCAGAGATATTCAAAGCAATTAAATCTTTAATAAAATTTTATATTTCAATTCATTACTAAACTAGTTTCTCAAAATATTTTATCACAGTTTGAATTTTTTTTTCTCATTTATATTGATACATTATAAAATGCTATAAATAATGCTTTAATAAATATAATCTATCTTATTCTAGAAATTACAAGAATTTTTAATAGTAATGAATTCATGATACAATAATAAATTTACAAAAAAAAGTAATTTTTAAAATTTGCAAGTTATTTAAATTGCAATTTTCTCCAAGTTTCTAAAAAAAATGTTTTTTATTATTTTGTATTTTTTTTATTATTTTTTATTATTATCTATTTTACTTTTTTTTTCTCGTAATTTATTTTATCATGTATAAATTATATTTGATATTAAATCTCAATAATATAATATTTTATATCTTTGTAATTAATTATAACAATTAAAAAAATATATATTTTTTTTATTTATATTATTAATGTTATTATTATATTAATTATTATTGTTTGTAATTAATTATTACAGAATCGAATGCAAGAAAGCTTGAAGCTATTCGACTCAATTTGTAATAACAAATGGTTCACTGATACCTCAATTATTCTATTCCTGAATAAGAAGGATCTTTTTGAGGAGAAAATTCGCAAGTCTCCACTCACCATTTGTTTCCCCGAATATGCCGGTAAGAACTTTTTTTTATATTTACATATTTATTTCTGTTTAAATTTACTATTTTTACTAAATATATCACTTTTTTTATATACATAATTATATTATTAATTAATAATTATAATTGTCAATTAATTGTAACCAATTATTAGTAATTTTATGATTAGCAGTAAGTATTATTAATTATTAATAAATCGCTATTTAAAATTAATAAGTATATTCCTAATTATTAAATAATTTGGTCTACTTTAATTTCTATTATTATTTTTCATATGCATGAAAAAAATAAAATTATCGATCTATGGAAAAATGATAAATAATAATTTCAATATCTATAATGACAAGATATTTAATTTTAATATTTATTTAAAAATTTTTTCGAAATTGTTAAAATTTATAATTTAAAATAATTTGTAGTATATTATATTACATTTCAACAAACGAAAATTAGAAAGGATTAGAATTTCAAAAATCTGTTACTAAAGCCATCTGTTAGTAAAAATCGAAAATTGTGTATGGTATAAAAATAAACGTGGAAAGTTCACATTGTTATAAAAAGTCTGTAGTCTGTTGCCGTCCTTGGAATTCCTTCACGCTCCACAAGAAAGCTATATATTTTTGTTTGAGATACATTAATTTAAATAATGCTTACGTATATTTCATTGTCGTTTATTTTGTGAATTTTTGATACATATGAATTCATTTTTAGATAATATAATTAAAAATGTAAAATATTATTGTTATTCGAATATTTATCTATTATTTTAATAATTATTATACAATTTTGTATTCTTTATTTTTCAAGATCATAAATCATATAAAAAGATATTTATTTATATGGAAATTGTATACCATACATGATATTTATTAAAATTAAATATATATTTCATAATTTAAATTTTGATAGATAAAATATACACATAATATAAAAAGTTTGTGAAATTTCAATTATAAATTAAAAATTATAAATTTATAAAATTAAATTTTTATTGTGAAATTTAATTTTACGTTGAAAATTATGTAAAATTCATTTTTTTATATAATTTAATAAGTTGTACAAATTTAATTTAATTTTCTTTATTAATTTTAAGTATTTAAATTAACTTTTTAAGTAATTAAAAAATATTTTATAATCATTTTTCTTTTATCTTACATTCAATTCATTAATATGTAATTGCAGCAATATCTTGTTTATTTACTTTACAGTCGATAGGTCTCTATGCAGAAATAACTTATTGGCTAAATAAAAAAAAAAGTTGCAATTCTAATTAGTAGTTGATAATATAGATAATATGAATAAATATAATACATTCATAAAAGTAGGCATATATATTGATCAAATATATTATTTTAGATATGATTTTATAACATTAAATGTTGCTAACTAATGAGATCTCTTGCCATTTTATCATTAGTCATCTTATCATTTATGCATTATATATATTTGATGCTTATGAAAAATAAATAAATAAATAAAAATCTCGAAATTGACATTAAAAACTGATTAATCGATAAATGAAATCCCCATCAATTTTTAGAACGAGTATTATTTTTGACTTATAAAAAGTTTATAACATTTTTATATTTCTTACTTTAAAATTATAAAATAATTTTAATTAGATTATTGAAATTTTTCCAATGAAATTAAATATAATTATATTTGAACGAACTTAAATTATATATTTTTGTATACATAAAAATATATTATATAGTATTAGAGTGTCCCATAAGTTTCTTTCGTATCATGCTAAGAATGACTTTAATTGGCTATTTTGATATAAATAGACTTAATTATTAGCCATATTTATGGTATGGGTTTCAGTCGTTCCAAAACTCTTTTAAAATATGTTTTCTTGATACACAAAACTTTTTTCTACCGTTCAATATGGATAACCAAAAAAGCATTTGCGGCATATTATGTTTCATTGCTTTAAAGTAATAATGCAAATGATACTGCAGACGAGATTTGTATCATTTACAGGAATAGTGCTACGATTCTTACGGTTTAAGAAATTTAGAGCTGACAATTTTGATTTGAAAAATGAAGACCGCAGCAGCCGCTCAGCAATGACGGATATAGACTTTATTAAGACCATGTTCACTAAAAATTCAATATTGTGTGAGCAAAATGTTGTGGATGCCACTAACATTCCCAGGACAATAATACATAATCACCTGAGCAGAATGGGATAAGCCGATATGAAGTTTGGGTTCCACAGTTATTGACAAACCGGCTTTATGAACATGTCTCTACGTGTGATTTGCTTCTCCAGCGACATGAAAGAGATTCTTTCTTAAACTTTTGTCATTAGAAACGAGACATTTTGTATCAAAACGCACTTGGTCTAAGGTTTTTTGTCTATTTAGTGGGATTAAAAAGCTATAGTCTACTATGAGCTTCTTCCTCAAGATGAAACCATCAATTTTACCAAATATTGCAATCAGCTTGATAAATTGAAAGCTGTCACAAAAAAAAAACGGCTAGAATTGGCGAATTGATGAGATGTCGTTTTCATCATGACAATGCAAAATCACATATTGCATTGGCTGTAAGAGAAAAACTATTATAGTTTGATTGGAATGTTTTACCGCATCCTCTGTACTTTTCAGATCTTGCTCTTGATCCGACTATTACTTGTTCCTGTCATTGAATATTTTGCAAGTAAGCCCCAACAATTTTGAAAAGAGGAAATAATGAGGCTTCTTGAGAGATGGAAGAAGGTGATTGAGCAGAACGGTTTATATATAACGCAATAAATCAAGCTTAAACAACAAATATCATGTATTTATTTTGTATCAAAAGAAAAAAAAAAAAAGAAACTTATGGGACCCTAATATTTATACAATTATATGTATACTTACATTTCATTGTGAACGAATATGAATAGAATTTATTTCTATTTCATTTCTTTTCATTTCATAATTTAATTTCTTATTTTTTAATTATTCAAAAACGAATTAAAAATAAAAAAATAAAAATAATAATTGATAATATTTTTAATTTATTTTATGAATTTCCAAAAATTCAAAAGGAAACAAGTAAAATTTAATTTTTTAAATATTACATATCAATTTTCTTATTTATAGATAGAATATTTTTATTTTGTAAAAAAATGTTAAAATTCATATCAGAAAGAATCAATTAAATTAAAAAAAAAAATATCTGCATATTTTATTAATTTTCCTTATTTATATAAAATAAAAATTCATTTTATTAGACCTTAATCCTTTATATGTTAAAAGAGGAAATAAAGTTAAAAAAAATTTTCTATCAGTTGTTACTAATATTTTCTATTTATACAAATTAAAATTTTAATTTATCAAAAAAATTCCAAGAAGACATTTCTAAAAGAAAAAGACGTAATTATTTAATTTGTTTTTTCTATTTAAAAGAATAATAACGATACATGTTTGTTCAAACGCAGGGGCGCAAGAGTACGGTGAAGCAGCCGCGTACATTCAGGCGCAATTTGAGGCGAGGAACAAGTCAACCACTAAGGAGATCTACTGCCACATGACTTGCGCTACTGATACAACCAATATTCAATTCGTGTTCGACGCAGTCACAGATGTCATTATCGCCAATAATCTTCGTGGCTGCGGTCTCTATTGAAGATAAATATTCCCCCGTCGCGGAGCCGATCGACCGACACACACACATATGGTTGAACTCACACTCATACCCTTATACAGAACACATGTGTTGTATTGCGAGAACGAGAGAGCGCGTGAGAATGAGAGACTATGATAATGTCAGCTACTGAGAGAAAGATTGAGTGACAGAGAGGGAGAGAATGGCTGAAAGAACGGGAGAGAAAGAGATATACCTATGTACCACCGCTACTACTACCGACCACCTGCGGATACCTTCTCAATTTTTATTACCAAACAAACCTTTTATGCCAGTCCTTTCAACGTTTTTCCTTATCGTACTAATCGGCGATTCAATGCCGATTCCAATATTTATATATCTAACGTGCTATTTATAAGTTGATATGAAGAGAAAGCTAAGAATTCCTTCCTGAACAAGATTTATAAGATTGTTAAGTGATATTGCTAAAATATTAGCTGTGGAGAGTTGTTAGTACAATGATATCTTTTATAAAAGGTGACATTGTTCATTGTGCTTTGTGACATAGGAAACTGAATGTGTTTGAGAAAGGGAATTTGAAATATGAGCAGCAATGAAAAAAATATTTCTTTATTACAAAAATTTATTTTACAGACTGGATTTTGAATTTTAAAGAAAATAGAAAAATTTCGCATAAATTTTTCAAATGATTTTGACTTTATATGATAGATATTAATTGAAATTATTGATTATTAAATTTATTATTATAGAATTTTTATTTTTTATAATTTTATAATGATTTTTTTTTTTGATAATTTATTCAAATTTAACATTTGCATTAAATTCAATTTTTAAGTTAATGCAAATTTAATTAATCTTTTTTCTTTGATTGAAATTTCATTAAATATATATAACACATTAATTAAACTTAAATAAATCTTAATAAATTAATAAAGTAAAAAGTATAAATCAAGTACTTATTAATTGTGTAATATTAGTTGTAAAATCAAAAAGTCAACAAAATTTGTGATTTATTTATAATTCGAAATCAAATTTCATTTATTTATTATTTTATTTTTGAATACAACAACCAACATTAAAATGAATTTCTGAACAAATAAACATATTATTTATGTTTATATTTATGTTTCAATCAAAGATAGTAAGATTGATTATAAAGAATTTAATATTATCTTTATACATTGATTTTTTTTTTATATCGATATGTATTATCAATTTTGACATTATTATATATATAAACAAAATCAATTTATATAAATGTTAATAAGTAATCGATTATGATCAAAAAAATTAATTTATTAAGAAAATTATAAAGTTAAGAAAAATCAATTTTCTTATCAAATGTCATTGATAATTTAAAATTAGATATATTTAAACAGTTAAATTTATTATTAAAGAATTATTATTATTATCATTTATTTGGTTAAAAAAATTATAGTTGAAAATAATAATTTAATTCCCCGAAATTAATAGTAAGGAAAATGTTGAAAGAGAGCACCATAAATAATGCAAAGTTTTCATAGATTTCACGATAAAATCGCACAAAAATCAATCATAAAGCACATTTGGATCTCAGAATTCTTCATCTGCTTTTATTGTAAATTAGGAAGAGATTTATTGTATTATTAAGTATATTGTAATATCTTATATTCTGATTACAGATCAACATAGAGTCTGTCCATATGAGTGAGATAATGATTGCATTTATTTAAATTAAATAGACTCTATATTTCTCAAGAACTAGTAAAGATAACGACGGCTAGCTTGCAACGAAAAATTTCCAAATCAAAATATAAGATATTACAGTAGCTTTTTTATTCAGGTAGAAAATTAAATTAAACATTAATATCTTGTTTAACATAAATATTATTTCAATTATTATTGATTGTTTCACAAAATTATTCAATGCTTATAAAATATTCAAAATAAATATGGCTTTTCTTTAATAATTTAAGGATTAAATAACTAAAACATTTTGAAAAGAAAATAATTTTTAAAATAATTTTTAATAATAAACATCATAATTTTCTACCTGGAAACAATGATTTACAATATAATATGCAATCTTTTTTTTACGTGTAATATAATAATATTATTCAAATATTTTAATTCTAATTAAATATGTATATTATTTTATTGCCAAGCGTATCAGTTGCGCACAACAAATCAAGAAAAAAATTATATTTTTATCTCTTACTATATTTACTTAACTATATTTTTGTGTAAATCTACAATTTATAAATTTGTGAACACTTTTTAATATTATACGGTTCAGTTTTTAATCAATTCTGGGATAGAAAACTAAAATCAGATGCGTGAAAAAATTATATAAGAATATAAAAATAATATAAATCGAAATATGATAAAATGAAACTATAATCTCAATATATAAGACTAAAATAGTAAGAAGAAGCACATAAAGAAAAAGCAAAACATCTGAACAGAAATCTTAAAATTCGATTTTCAAAATCGTTAAATATTTTTTAAGTTATTTTGATTTAAACTAAAATGGAAAAACTAAAAACAGATAATATATATGCATAAAAATATACATAAGAACAAATTATCTTTCATATCGAGGATTGAAATCAAATCGAAGATTTCATTTCGTTTCATTGTTATGCATATTCACACGATTCTACGCACACGATCGCACAATTGCATGCAATTACACAACATGCACATATTACATAAATATATAGAACATTCGCAAGATATTTACATTTATACATTGCGAGAAATGAAAGGCTTTTAAACAAATTGAGATCCTTGAATTTCTGATTCTTTTGAACGATTTAATTTATATGCATTATAATTATATTTCTTAATTAAGTTAGATATATTTAATCAGTTTTAGTTATTCGATGAAATTTTGATTTCATACTAAATTCTAATTCTAATTTTGAATTAATCTAACCTTCATTTTCATGCTTCTTTTTTCATCAAGAGAATTCTTATGGGCTCTAAAATGGATATCGTACCGATCGAAACATTCCACGTACAATCAAATACAGTTTTCTATTTCCTATTTCTCCTTTTTTAATATTTAATTAACGCATATTATAAGTACTAATATTCTTTGCTATATAATATTTTTATTCAGATATATATATATTTTTTTTAATATTCACGTCCTTTTCGGGAATTGCAATTGTGATTAAAACGTATAAAGAGACACGTATAAATTTTCTTAGAAAATTTTACCAAAGATAAATATTGCTTGACATTTTTATAATATATATATATAAGATATAATTCTGAACACATATTTCATATTTAAAATTTTATAAATATTTATTATGAGTTATTGAAAATTAAAAATTTTTTTCTCATTTCCAATTGCAATTCGACATTGAAAAGTATTTGACCAAAAAGAACCAAAGAATTGAGTAGATCAATAATTACAGATATACATTTTATATATATATAAAATATATATATAAAAGAAAGGGAAAAAGGAAGAGAGAAAAAAATATTTTCGAATGTCAATTAATCTAAATTATGTATATGTACAAAAGATAGCATTTTTTTAAAGAAAATCAACAAATTTTATTATTATTTTTTAAATTACAAAAAAAAAACAAAGAATATTTTCTTTGTTTCAATTTTGGTTTTAATTTTTTTTCTCTTTTTGTAATTTTATATATCAATTTTATGAATTATTTTTATATTGTTAATTGGATCTAGAAGATAAAAACAAAAACAAAAAAAAGTAGTATTACTTTCACCGCCGTTGCCATATTATTGTAAAAATTAATATATAAATTTTAAGAATATCGATTGTAATTAATTAAGTATTTCTATATGTAATAATCGTAATTATGTATAAATTAGTACGTATATAGAACTTCTAGTCAAATAGAGAACGTACTAGTTCGTATAAAATATAAAACGGGGAAGCGATTACTTCATTTCTTTGTAGTAAAAATTTTTATTATTCATAACGATTAACTTTAATTTGATTTAATATCTGCAATGAATAATAAATTGATAAAAATATTAAACTTTTATATTTATACCGTATTATGGTTTGATCATATTTGTTAATTAAGTTAAAGAAAAAATGATTAAAAAAATTCTATAAATGTTGAACGAATTTTAACAACATAAAAATAAAATTTTAACAATATGAAAATAAAGCAACCAATGAAAGAAAAGAATTATATAGATTGTAAATGGATTGAAATCGAGATAATTGTAATACGTAATGAATGTGCAATTTCGAATCAAGAAATTGTAATTCAGTTATAATTATAATTGCCTAGAATAAATGAAATGAATTAAATTATATATAGCAGTGATCGCCTTGAGATTGTTTTTTTTTTTATAACTTTTCTCGGATTAGACTTATCAACAACAACTTTATCCATACTATTAATAAAAATTCGCAATATTTCTTGAAGGTTGCTTCTCAATTTTTTATAAATAAAAAGAGCCATTTTCAGGAATAAAGTTTTATTTTCATTGACTTTTTTTTAAATAAATTGAAATTTGTTCTAGTTTTCATTTGCTCTTTTTAAATTATTTATAATTTTTTTTATTTCATTCCATTTTTTGTTTTTTAATCAATATGAAATTCAGGGATTTTTAAGAAAAAAAGATAATATATACGTACATTATCTTATGCCACAAAATATAAATTGTCATTTTACAACAGAACACTCAAATATTGTTTTGTACCAAATATTTTTATTCGATTATTAGATTATGGTAATTTTTCAATCTGCAATTTTTAACTTATTTGGTCGCCTAACTTAATTAAATATTGAAATGTTTTGCACATTTTGAATTTATATTTTAAAAGACAGATTGCGGATTGAGAGATCGTCGCACTTAATTATTGAAAAACAATTGTTCATCATTTGTAAATTCCAATGAAAACTAGAAACCAAAAGAAAGAAAAATATGAAAATGATATGAAAAAAATTTATAGATATGTAAGTATACATATTACAAAAAGATTACGAAATCACGAATAATAACGAAAAAAGAAACAAAAAACAATAATAATAATTGCGAAATAAAGAGAATGTTCCGAATAAAAAAAGTCTAAAATAAACGAAAATAATATTTTTCACGAAAATGAAGTAAAATTCTTATTATGAAGAATATTAAGTATGAACAAACGATGTATGCGAAAGTATTTGTGTGTGTGTGTATGTGTACATGAAGAAAAAATGTTTGTGCGCATGTGTGTGTGTGTGTGTGTGTGTGTGTGTGTGTGTGTGTGTGTGTGTGTGTGTGTGTGTGTAGTAGTAACGAAAAGAAAA